GCCTTATTATAAAGCTGCTAATGTGACTGCACGTAACCCAACAGGATTCCAGTGGAATGTATTTAGTTTTTTATGGTGTTTCTTACCTACTTTCCAACATTTAATTTTACAAAAAAATGCGTAAAAACCTGCTCCAATTCCTCCAAAAAAATGTGTGTTCAGGGTAGTTGCTATTTAAAGGTAAAAAATATGTGTAATTAATGCAGACTCGTCTCTTTTGGCCTTTACAGGGATGCCTAATTGCTGCTAATATTTCACATAATAACCCAGAAAAGGAGAGCAGGAGTTCCGCGTCTAAAATACGAGAATGACAGGTCACGGTCATACAACTATAATTACCACTCAGTCAAGAGGAATGCTGCAGCCCCTGCGCCTTACCTATTGAAGAAAGGAGACACTGAGAGCAGAAAGTTTAGTCCAAAGGGCCCCGCTCATTCCTGCACTGACAGCCGCGCTGGTGAGGCTATAGGGAAACTGGTGCTCTTTGGGTGCTGCATGAATACACACCAATGGGAAAGTTGTGTTCAGTTAACCGGTGAAATCCGAGAAAAAAACAGGGCAGGGCAAGTATTTCTCACCGCCAAACTCCGGCCTAATAGTCTCCCCCCCTCCTCCTTCCTCTTGTTCCCTATAGTTGGATTGACAGTGCCTGCATTAACTTCACCATACAAGATGTAGTAGTTGGGAATGAAGAGAAAGGCAAACTTTGACCTCTAAGCGGATCATCGGGACGCAAACAACCATCAATCCAAACACAACACAATTCTGTTTTGTTTTTTTTTTGTTCTCAGAAGAGCATCAGCTTGTACTTTTCTCCCTTTTTAAGACACTTTAAATCACTTCAAATCTGGAAGCCATCATAAAAACTAATCGTCTTTATGTTGTTGACGTTCAGCTGGATGTTCATATAAATCTTGTTTGACAGCCTCACTTCTTTTTTTTTTTTTTTTTGTACAGATAAACGCAAAACAACTTCAGGGAGCGAAAAAAAGGGGGAGAGAAAAACATGCGAGTCTCCATTGTTGCCGCACTTGTCTCACATTCTCGTTTACTCTCATGTAAGTATCACACACAGAGATTACTCCTCGCTAAGTTCCTTTGTCTTGTGATCCATATTTGAGTTGACAGATCACGAACAAGAGCTCCCCCACTGTTAATGACCCCAGCCAGCAACAGATAGACTCACACTTCCAGCACTTTTTACTCCTGCTCCTCTGGCCTACATATGTTTACACCGAGAACAATCGCGTACCTGTTTACATGCGTCTCATTTACATTGTTAAACGCGCACTAATGGGAAAATCGCTATGAAGTTTAATTAATATTGACTTTTGTTTCTGGTATCACATCTTAGCTGAAAAAAATCACAATTCAAATGTGACAAATCATTTGCTTGTTGCATTAAAGTAAATCCATTATAAATATCCTGTTTGTGTTTAGGAGCACATGCGCACACGGACCCATAATGGAGCGTGAAAGACAAAGTTTACATCTTCAGCTGACTTTTCTTTTTTTTTTTTACAAGCCATTTCAAAGAAACACATTGCTTTTATTATTATTTTTTTAAAGTCAGTTAAGTTTATGTGCATATTTAAACTGTGTTTTCCAGAGCCGTGGGTTTAATGAACGTAATGTTGCGCAAATGAAGCCCATTCATCGCTTGTTTTGTATTCATGAGTCCCTATCTGTGGCTCCATCTCTCAGATATAGCCCTAATCCTCGTGTCCTCCTTTGCCGATAAAAATGCTCTTCAGTTTACGATTAATTTAATCTCAATCATAGCCGGGACTTGTCGCAGCCAATAAAACTTGTGGAGTGCGTAAATGGAGAGGTGGGGGGTGGATGATAAGGGTCTGGTGGTGCGGCGGTGCCATGGCCCCTCGGTGCTCTTGATAGGGCCTATCTGTCTCTAGCAGGCCGATTTAAGACCCGGAATGGGTTTAAAATATGATACAGATTTACTTCATCTGCGATCTTGCCAATGAGTGCGGCGGGAGATGGTTTGTTTCAGCCAAGCGGGGAGCTGAGCTTTGCGTTTATGGGCTTCGGATATTTCAGGATCACAAGCCCATTGAGTCGTGTGGTTGAAGCTCCTGACACACTTGTTTTTGTGTTTTGATTGGTATCCGTCTGGGGGAGACTTATGCATAGAGATAGCTTTTGCGCACATTTCATCCAGTGGACTGGCAACATTTACGCAGAAAAAAAGAAAACATAATCCATTGTCAAATCTAAAATCTCAACAACAAAGTTTAGTGTTTTTCGCTTTTCCAACTTTTGTCAAACTCGTATTTAGCAGAAAGAGTTTTACTGAACTACAACAAAACTAAAAAATTACCAGCTCCATATAGGAGATAGAATTGTTTTTTACACACCCGTGCCCACATCCTCTTTTGTAAAAACCTTAAAGCCATTAGATTAACACATTCAACTAGTCTAATTAGGCGCGTTTGTGGCAGAGAATTGGTTTCTTGGTCTCTGTTTTAAATGTTAAATGCCTCCATTCAGCCTCTTTTGCGTGCGCATTTACGCACACACACGTCGCCATTGACAATTTATATTTAAACTTTCAGACTCTGCACAAAAATTCCAAACATCCTGTAAAATATCTAAACATCCTGCTCATCTCTGAGCACAGTAGCCCAAAAGAAGCACTTGTTGGAGGCAGTAAAGTTTCAGTTGCTTCACTAAACCAGAGAGAAATCTGCCGCGATTAAAGAACGGGAGGTTTTACACTGTTGATATCCTCTCCGCAGATTTTTATGTCAGTCTCAATTTCTACAAGTCCTGCTGTCTCTCTGAGCCAAACAGCAGCCCCTGTCCTACTTTCTGTTGCTAAAGACACGACTGCAGCACTCCCAGTCTCGACGCGTTTTTATGCCAGCTCTGTATATTTACATGGGGGGAAATCCTCAGCGCTGCTTCTGGGAGACAAATCTCTGCGAAAGTGTTTCCACCAAAAAACTGTAGTTCATGCAACAGTGTCCTATAGCAAATCTGCCCCAGTCTGCAGCATAATTGGTTGGGGATTTGGATGGAAAGGGACTGCAGGAGAGAAAGCCTTTTTTTTTGGAGGGGGGAAATGGTTCTCGTCCGAGGAAGAAAAGCTCTTTTCAGGGGCCACAATGGGAGATTGGGACAGGGGAGGAGTCCCATCGTGATTAGCCCATTTAATGGCGCGTTTACTTAATTTCTGTATTCACTAGCAACGGTAAACAAAAGGGGAAATAGCACTCACATTTTTAAGTGCTGCATGACGTTGACGTTTGCCAGAATTTGTATACAGCGGCAGTCATATAGGGCGACGTACATCACACTGGAGTGCGTAAATAAAATAAGACAAGAGGTGAAGCATGTTTTTCCAAAAAGAAAAAAAAAAAAAATCTAGCAATCTCAGAAAAATAATCCCAGCATTAGTTTGTCTTTTACCAGCGTAAAAGACCAAATAACTCACAGCAATGTAATAAATAATGATTAAAACACAAGTTAACGCTGCTCTGGAAATAAAACCCGAACTCGTTTTAAGTGAGTTCAGCCCTCTGACTGCATAACCTGCTCCGGGGACCCATAAGCCACGATGAGCATTAATGCTTCCACAATCCAATAATGACCCAATATGAACATGTGTTTAGCCACTTATCACTGTCCTCATCCGTAATCGGATGGAAAGACAGACATCATGCAAAGAGGTATAGCAAACTGAACGGTGCTTTAAAAAAAAAATTAAAACCGTATGGGAGGCTGCATCATAATAAAAACCACGCAAGAAGGCAAAAAATAAAATCATTGATGTAAATAAACGCTTTGAGCGACCCTGAGGCTGCAGAGAGGACAGGAGGAGGCATACAGAGAGAAACTATCCCACTCTTACTGTATTTGTAAAATGTGCCATCAGTAACCCACCAAAAGCAACAAAAACGCCTGCAGCACTTGGGTTGTAAGTTTTGACAAATATTTTATGTAGGAACACCAAGTCAAGAAAAGTGAGGAAGGGATAGAAAAGAGGATGACACGGGGGGAGGAGAGCAATAATTATGTACAAGCATATTTCTACACGTATATTACAGACCGGGAGAATGATCGCATTATTTGAGATATACATAATTCAATATAAAATTTTGAAAATAAAAATAAAAATCTGATACAGTCATAAACGGTTCCGTTCGACACATTTGTTTTTTTTTTTCTTTTTGTTTTGTTTTTTTTTGACCATGTACCCCACACAGGCAGTGACAGAAGTGTATTAAAAAAGGTGCTTACGACTTAAAATGATTGTCTGATGAACACAAAGTAAAAAAA